CATACTTATGGGTTTTTTCATCAGGCTGCATTGGTGAAGTAGGGCAGCAGAGGGGTTTGGAAGGAAAGTAAATACACCATACATCTATTTCCTGTAAAGTTAAAATACAGGTTTAAAAAGTTTAATAGAAAGAGGCCTAGGAGCCAGGTTTGTTCACTATACGGAAGGATTCACACAGAAAACGTGTTTATGACATTAAAACCATCTGTTTATTACAAAAGGAAATGATACAGGATTTATCGAATGCATTCCTACTTTCTGGAAGAATGGGTCGAGTCTTGTTCCCATAATGCTTTGCAAACTGCCATATTATTGCCCTCACACGTACACAGTCCACCGATTTCAACTATAGAATAACAGTGTTAATGAGTATCTGACTTTGAGGGCCCACCTCCATCCTCAGTCCTCCCCAACAGAAGGGCCAATCAACGATATTTGAAGGTGTTGCTCAGAGGCCATCTCTTCTGGTCAATTGCAAGTCAAAATACAAAAGAAAGCATCCGATCTGCTTTGCCAACATATGGATTTTCTCTTTCAAAGCAACCCGTCATTATATTAATACTGGAGCTCTAATTGCTTGGCTTGATTTGACTATTTGAAAGGCATGCTCCAAGCCTGCCCTTTTTATTTTTAATCAATAATCTGAAGTATAGGCTTTGGGACTTCTTCCATGTATGTGACCCAGTGAGTGTTGCTAATATAGAGGACCTGGGACCTTTAAAAACAAGTCTGCGATGGCAGCTCCCATATATGACAGCTTCCCTTTAAGCCCAGGTCTATGGTTTGTGGACCATGTCCTTGGAGCAAAGGTGAATGCTTCTACTGAAGTAGTAATAGATCTAGCTGTGTAGAATAGAATGATGACGGGGAAGGTAGAGCTAAGTAAAGTTTACAAGACTTTGGCACAATGTCTTAAAAAAATAAATAATGTGCGGCATGTTTTTGCCATGCTAAACCAACGATGGGGAGGAAAAAACTGTTCCTCCAGCTCATCTGTACCGAGGTATAAACTTTCAGTTAAGGAGGAAGTTATCCGTGGACTACATGTATAGGTGATGTCACCACACTTGTAGTCCATTGAGATGTATGAGTCCCTCTGCCACGGATCCTATAAATGGATCTGTCAATGAATAATGCACAGTCGCACCAAATTCAAATTTAGACAAGATGCTGCAGGGAGAAGAACCAGGCGATACCGGACTGTGACCGGATATTACACCCTAAATATGGATGTAACATTAAACAAATTTACAATATTTTTATATGAAAATTGTGGAAAAAAATGAATGCGTATAAAATACCTCATAGGGCTTTTAAACACTCTCATTTGGCTCCCGGGCACATGGTTTTAGTTATGTCTTTAGTTCTAGCTGTAGCAGTGTCTGAATAACATGCTTTACACCACATCTTAGAACCAGGGGAGTGCGATTCCCACTGAAAATTATGCTCAGCTCATATATATATATATATTTTACTAGCTCAGCATGAGAAAAACACAAGAAAAACTTGGGTCCTCGTGTTTTAGGAACTACAAAACTCATTCACTTGCAGGCTTGCTTAATAAAGCAGCAAGCGGTATAATGGTCATAGGGAGCTCCACGTTAACCAATCAGATTACTCCTTTTATTTACAGGACCTTAAAGTTTGGTTTTGACTGGTTATCGTGGCTCAATGCATTTTGCTTTGCCCATATATAACAGACCTGCTGGAGACACAACTCCATCTTGATACCTGTGATATAGTCTACACTCTGCATTGCACAAACAAATGCAATGCAGAAATATGGAAATATATTTCTTTATATAATACATATACTTTAATTTTTTTTTGTACATATAGACATCCTTCTGTTCACAGGAATATACATGTTTAGTCAAAAGGTAATTGCACTTACAGGAAACATCCTTTCTAACCCACCCCCTAAGAAAGGCCGACAAAATCCAACTTCTTCCTGCTGAGTCTGGGATGCAGGAGTTTGCATGAAAAGTATACTCTTTAAAGCCTAACTCTAGTCCAAAAAAGTGTTGAAGCATCTTTAATGTTTTGGCTCTAACCCTCCCTCACTCTATCGAAAAACTGGAGCTTAGAAGGGCACTTGTACTACTATAGACAATAAGGTATTTAGATATTCCAACGAGTAGGGATGCACCAATATCGGTGCCAATACTGAGCATTTGGGCGAGCACTCGTACTCCGATACCGGAACTGCCGGTCAGAGGGAGCCTTGAGGGAGGGCAGTGCCGCGAGGGAGCATGGAGCCGGCTTGCCAGCCACTCAGGAAGCCGGGCGGCGGGTCATGACCCACCTCTGGGCAGCTGATTGGCTAGGAAGCCGGCTTCACGCTGCCTAACAAATCTGCGAGGCAGCCTGGCGGCACGTCATGACCTCCCTTCCGGCTTCCTGATTGGCTAGGAAGCCGGCTTCACGCTGCCTAGTGACACTGTGAGGCTGCCTGGCTTCCTGACCATTCAGGAAGCTGGGTGGCAGGTCATGACCCGTGTCCGGCTTCCTGATTGGTCGCAAGGGAGCGTGAAGCCGATGTTCTTTCGATAGAACGCTGGCTTCCCAGGCAATCAGGATTGGCCGGGAAGCTGGGCCCACGCTACCTTGGGATGCCGGTATTGGTACTCAGTATCAGTGAGGATGAAAAAATATTGGTAATAGATATCGAGAAACTGGTATTGGTGCATCCCAACCAGCAAGCATTAAAAGGGCTTCAGCCATCCCTGACCTCTCTAGCTGCTTGTACTTTAAAGTAATTATTTATCGATGATCCTCAAAGATCACAACAGCTTAGAAACACCTGCTGTGTGTTCACATTAGAAGGCTGACTGGCTGCCAAGATTTGCCCTCTATAGAAAATAGCTCAGGCTGATGTCAGATGGGCAATTCTGCTGCTAGCTACAAAATCACCAGCATCAGAATCACTGGGAAGCTACCTGTTTGTCCCTATGGTATCGCTCCCTCTGTAACTGAGGCAAAAAGATGTCGCTCTGCCGCGATGGGAGCAACATCACACTGCCTCAGCTACAGAGATTAGTACTAATTCCATAGTGAGAAACAGACAGCCTCTTTAGCGATCCTAATGCTGGTGACTGGCAGCAAAGCCTAAGATTTCAGCACCTCTGTTGTCAATTTAAAGATGAATTTCTCCACAATGCCTATAGCTATCAAGATTATTTGTGGCTTTTTTAAAGTGCTATTACTGCTTGTTTTGAATATGTAAATACCTTTTTATCATTAGTAAGGAACAGGTTTACTATAAGGTAAACTCTTCTAAGCCTGGACATTTCAAACAGAACATATAATTGATGAATGAATAAGCAGGGGTTACCTTTGGACACTGCATGTCAAAATGATCAGTTCATTCAAATACAAAGGAGGTTCAATTTATATGCAAATCGTGACTCTTCCTGTACCCTTTCGCTTGCCCCCCCTTACCCCCAAAATTTCCTATTGATCAGTGAAGCCATCATTCTTAATAAAGCCCATATCTCCAGTCATTTCTATATCTATATTAGACTGCTGTTGCCTATTGGGCTGAATCTTATTTTAAAGTAAATAACTGTATTTCCTGCCCACAGCAACCAATCCAACTATTAATTGTAACACAACTTGAATAAAAGAAGTATTGGATTGGCTACTATAGGCAAGGTAATTTTGCCTTTGCACATTTTGATTATTTGGTGTGTACCTTAAAGTGATTTATTTATTAAAAAAAAGGTTCCTCTGCACAGAAGATAGTAACTACCTCTCCCGCCACCTGAAGAATCTTCAGAATCCAAAACTTCTGTGTGTGTCAAATTCCTGGTCTCAGTGGTTTAATCTGCAGACCCCCCACATCACTACTTTGAACTGTAGTTACATTCTTAGATCACCTTGGTACCATCAGGGGGGATCGTGAATCTGACAGTTCTGTATGTTTCAGATTCTGAAGAGTCTTAACTGGTTCTACATCTGTCACACTAAAGTTTTCAAATCGTCTCACTTACAAAGTTTGTTAAAGGGTCAGTCCACCCAAAACTGTTTTCGGTTTTTGGTAAATGCTAGAGACCTAAGCCAAATGTCAGGTTCTTGTATGTTATTAAAAACAATTGAGGCGTGGTCACTCATTTGGACATCATCCTATATAGTTTATATTGTCTCTGAGAGAACAGCCTGGGAATATAGAATGTAAAGGAGATATGGAAAATAGAGGTCTTAGTAGTCTCTCGGAGGTAGAATATACCCAAATATATCAGAAACATTCATACTTTATACATCTAAAAAAGTAATATTGTCATGTGGCAAAAGTTGCCAAAAAATGCTCTGTGTATACTGGAAAAATCATCGTAATGAAAATCCAGATATCAAGAAATGTCTATGGGTATTACATTAAAATGGCTCTCGACAATGAGTGGGCAGCTTGAAAAACATGTCTGAGTTGATGTCTATTCAAGATGGTAACCAGAAGAATCTGTAGCAAAGTACTGGACAAGCAATAATGCAAACTTCTGCTGTACAATAACAGAAGCAAACATTCATGTATGACCGTAAATGATGGACCACGGTTGACTCCCAACGATGAGCAGACAGCCATAATTGAAATACAAGTTCAAAAGATATCACCATATTTGATGTATATCATGTTATACTGCACTCATGATGGTAAACTTGTGAACTTCTATCTCAGTCTCTCTATCTCAGTGATGGCTGTCTGCTCGTTGTTAGGAGCCAAAATACATTTGCTACAAACAAGCACTTCCCTGATTGCTGTTCCATATACTTTTGCTATTTACCAGCTATTACTTTAGATCCATTGAGATGGCAAGTTATTTATACTCTTAAAATTGGATTGGCTTATCTATCAGGATTGAAATCAACTTGCTTGAAGATGAGAGTTATAAATATCAGCTATTGATAAACATACTGGATGTTTTCTTTCTTTTTTTGCAATGGTACAAGTATTGTCTGGCCTTGCACAACTATGATTTGGAACCTGTTTGGTATCGGCTTTGGCTGGATGTTTTGGATTTACTGTTCCGGAGGCTGCCTGCTAATCATCCGGAGTCAAATGTCGTCTATGATTTTCAGTCACACATAAATGTTTGCTTCTGTTATTGTATTGCAGGAACTCACACTATTGCTTGTCCAATACTTTGGTATGGATTCTTCTGGTCACCTCCGTGAATAGGCGTCATCTCCTATATCTTTTTAAAGCTGCCCACACTTCAACGGGAGCCATTTGATTGGGATGTCCACAGACATTTCTTGCTATATGGATTTTAATTAAGATATTTCATATAGCGCTTTTCCAGTATATTTTGGCAACTTTTGACGAATGTCAATATTCCGTATCACATGATAGATTCTATAGTAAATGACGACTCGGTTATAATGATAAGAGACTACAAAAACCCCTATTTTCCTTATCTCTTTTACAGTTTCTCATAAGTCTCAGGAACTCTACTGATGGGTCAGCACACCTCATGTAGCCATTATAAGGGTCCAATTTTTCCTGTTGGATATATTAGTTCAACAGAATGGAACAGTAAAAGCTTGAACGCACAAAGGTGGATCAAGAACACCCAAGACTCCAAGGTGTACAGGCACAGTCAGGAATAGCAGGTGAGATTCTGCAGTTGGAGTATACAAGACATACAAGAAGCCAGGGACTGACTCAGTCCACCAGACCCCGTCTATAACTAAAATATAACTTTTGGAAGCAGTTGCCCCTTTAAGGGTTATCACACCTGGTATATCTGCAGTGTGCTTATGTCACTTTTCTGTCAGCTCCAAAAAGAGAGCTGGACTGATGTAGCTAGAAGGGTCCACTACTTTGGTACAATGGAAACTCCTGTTTGACTTATAACACTTGGTCTTTACTAGTCAACCAGTACAATTAAATATTTAATTATCTAACATTTATTTTCTTCTGCAGGCTTAAATGTAATTAGTTCTTTGGGGCAACTAGGACAGTCTTTAATTTAGACCATTTGGTTTGGTTTATGTTCCCTTATAATAAACAGATTTTAGGTGAAAGTGCCGGCACTTACACATTCCATCACAGTACACTTTCAGAGTAAGTCATGGGGCATCTTTGACATCATTTCTTTAAACATAAAGTCACATTTCATTTTACAACAGTGATGTAACTAATGATCAAATAAAATAACATCTTACACATATTCACTTCACTTTAAATATATACACATATGTAATAAAAGTACCCAAAAAATGGGCAAATTAATCTTTGTCACTAGGTGCCATTGCCCTATCCAATTCATTTCAGGCGCTGTACAACCATATCAGCTGTCCTGTGCATTTACTGCTCATTTGGTTGGCTAGCAAATGTCCATATCCTAAAGACCAAGCCATACAAATGCATTGTAAAATATATTAAAAATCAGGCCACTTGCACCTCTGTCACACTGGAGGAGTCAATTATAATTTATGTGGACACTTTTAAAAAGAACAAGTCACATACTTTTGCAAGTATCTCAACTACTATTATAATAATTTAAAGATGCATATTCAGACTGCTTCACAGTCCCAGTTGTGGCTGATTCTCTTTAATGCAAACCTCCACCCAAGGAGGATTTGGAGTTTGTACCCACCGGCCCAACCTGACCGCTCAATCCAATGTTGCCAGCCAGTGATACTGCAAACCCCCCCCCCAGAAATTGTCACAGACAGGACCACCTTGTCCCACTCCACTCTAAAAAGAAATAATACATATTGTGTGATGTTCTGCTGAAATACATAGATACACTTAGTTGCATTTATACAATATCTACTGTATGCAAAACGTGATAACCGCATTTATGTACAGAATTACACGCTCTGTGTAAGTGCTCATGGACCAGTCTATATACATGTATTTGTACAAATATTTCTATACATATGGTCATTCCAAAAGGAGACTATATGGCCAAAAGTTTCTGGACACCCGACCATCACACCTACTATATTGCCAAAAGTATGCATACACCCCTTCAAAATATTGAGTTCAGATGTTTCCACTGAAGGGTGGAGATAAGCGAACTTCTGAAAAGTTTGATTAGTTGGGGTTCAGCCAAACATTCTAAAAATGCCCAAACCTTTGAAATTCGACATTTCTGAACCCAAAGTTCTGTTAAACTCAATCGAAATCCAAACCAGGCTCTAAACAATGTGTATTAAAAAGGAACAAATGGTGCAGGATTCTTTGGGAAACCTCCTGACAGTCCTGTCTGACAAGAAGTTGGGGCCAAAAAAACAGCCTGAGCCATTTACTTTCAAAAACTCTACCAGGGACACTAAGATAGAAGAGTGGTACCTGGTGGCAATGGTAGTCAAGCTAAGGTTTCTCAGGCAACAGCATAACCAGCCTTTAAAGTAGTCTTTGGTTCCTTTCTTCCAGAAGACTTTTGGAAATCTAAACCAGCAATAATAACACTGAAATTCGGATTCAGATTGGACATTCAAATCTGTGAAATTCGGTCAACATTCATGTCAACTCTACAGAAGGCTACAGCATGCAAAGACATTTTAGACAATTGTGCAAGTTTGGGGAAGACCCCTTTCTTTTCCAGCATAACTCTGCCCCTTTGCACAAAGTCAGCTCCATAAAGACATAGTTTAGAGAGCTTGGTGTGGAGGAAATCACGTAGCCTGCACAGAGCCCTGACCTCAACCCTATTGGACACCTTTGTGATGAAATGAAACTCCAAGTCTTCTTGTTCAACATCAATTGCTGACCTCTCAAGTGCTCTTTTGGCTTAATGGGAACACACTTCCACAGATACATTTAAAAAAGCTTGTAGAAAGCCATCCCTTAGGAGAAGAGACTATTAAAGCCACAAAAAGGTTGGGGGGGGGGGTGTTAAGGGATCAACTTAATTCTAATGCCCATGGTTTTATAATGTATGTCCAACAAACTCATACAGTTGTGATGCTCAGGTGTTCACAAATATCTGGCCATGTAGTGTATATATTTACACTTTGCTCTGAGTATAACACGGTACAGAACTGTTAAGAAGCTGCAGTCATGACAGCCGACAGCACCGCAAGATTCTGCTGGCTTCTTCCTCTTCATCTTCAGTTGTAGCTTTTAGCCGTAAAATTGGGGGGTCCCCGCTAGTGGGTGTATAGTACACAGACATACCGTTGGAGCACCATGGGGGTGTGCCAGGATCACTAGAGTAGTCTACATTGCCAGACCCAAGTAACTCACTGGTACTGCGTGCAAGGTACCTGCTCTGTTTTGCTGCCATCCTCTGCCGCTTCAGCTCAGAAAGGGTAAGCGGGGCCTGGTCCAAGATGCTGCTCCATACAGGACTTTGTGTATAAGAGGATAGGGAGTGGTTGGAGCTGCCATTGGAAAGTGGGATAGGGACTGGTGAGTCAGGCATGGTTTGAGAACAATAAAATGGAGGGACTGGAGAACAGTACCCATTACGGTACTGGACTTCTGGAAAGTCATGATTTCCCCGAAGTGGGTCAGGATCCATGGGTTCCCTCTGTAAAGATATATATCAAATACATTGTTATGCAGCTGTAACTGAACAAGATACCATTTTACTTCTTCCATTGCATCAATTACTTCTCGAGATACTATATATTCTACGGACAAGTTTTATAAAATAGAACACTCTGCTATTCTGCTGGAATCCTTGTTCTAGAGTTTGTAAGAGCTACAATAAAGCTGAACTCCAACGGCTGAATGCACAATCAAAGAACATATGCAGGAACTGTTATAGGGAAAGATAATAAATCCTGTAATCCTGTTTAGCCAGTTTTGTCATTTATACCTGTACATCCTTGTTAGACAACAAAGCTGGTCCCTTAACTTCCACTGGATCAGTAGCAAAGCTTCCCCTTGCTGACTGGACAATGAAGGAGTGGCAGCACATGGATAAAGTTATCATTCTGTTTACTCTGTTGTGTCCAGGGCCGGATTCACTCTCTCTTCTGCCCCAATGCCATGTTCTTCAATGCACCCCCCCTGTATGCAGGCTGCATACAAGTGATCACGGCGACATCACCGAGATCACTTGTATAAAACAAGCGGTGGCTTCCCCGCTGTACATTTAGCCCTGCTTGCCCAAAGCAGGGCTAAATGTAGAACATAACTACCCACCCGGCGCCCAGAACTGCATGTCCTGGGCGTCAGGATATAGGAATTTCACACCCCTGCTGCCCTCTCTACTCCCTGCTGCCCCAAGGCCGGGCCTCGGCTGGTCTTCTGGGAAATCCGGCCCTGGTTGTGTCCAACTGTCAGCACATGTTCACTGTAATGGAGCCTTATTGGCTCACACTGCTGGTCCATTCTCTCACAGCTTGAGCTGTGCTGTTCAGGACATTACAGAATGGTAAAATCAGGACAGGAGCTATCACGACATATTCTAGCATCTAAATGTCTTTTTTTTATGAATAGTCAACTATGCTTCCTGTCTCTTTCATATTTTCCCAGAGTTCAGCATTATGTAATAATTAAATCCTTTACTGATTTACTTCAGTAATAATTATGCTTTATGAATAATTATCTGCCTAGGTCTGTGTTTTGCTTTTAATGCACCATTGGCACAAGCTTTAGGCCCTGTTAACACTAATGTGTTGAGTTAACACAATATTCATGCGTTTAACACAGGCTTTAATGCATGTTGTGGTGCACTGGCAGCCCAGATTGGGCTGACTGTTATAGTGTGCTTTAGTGCACTGCATAGGTGCAATTCAAAATAAAGACCACAGTACTATGTTTCAAGCGTTTTTACCATGCATTAGCAAAACACACTGGTGTGAAACTCCCTTACTGTTCAATGTAAGTTTTGGACCTTCAATGACAAAAAGCTTTTTGCGTCTACATACAATGAAATCCAGCCTTGGTTGGAAATTATTTTTACATTTTGGGCAAATCCTGGGTTGAAAGCCAAGTTCATTTGGACCCAAGCTTCATACTTTGGTCCTGATACCACCTCTGCCTTTTTCACTTTTTGTACATTTTTCATATATTCATCTTTTACCAATAATCCCTGTGAAAGATGCACTTTAAATGCGGCACTTAAATTTTTTTTAAAGCACTCCCAACTGAAATGCTTAGATGTCACCTGTGCCTTATGATTTAACCCCTTCATGACTGAGCTTGTTTTTAGTTTCTGTTCATAAATGACTGACACACTTTTGACATTTTTGCTGTAAAGGCCATTTGTCATTACCCTTTGGTGAAATCTTATTAGTATGGTTTTCCTTTAACCACTTTCACGTAGCATAATGTCTGTTTTTTCTAGAAGATTTTTCCTAACGACCACTAGAGAGCGCTACTCCTCTGTATTCTTGAAATGCTGTTTGACAATCTTGGATGCAAAATGGGGTAGCCAACGTTATAACAGTAATAGAAGTGTGTCTATTCATTAGGTGATAAAAATGTGAAAATGAAATAATAGATACATAGATATTTTGTATAATATTTATTATTTGTTATTTATTATATGTATAATATTTACCTATTTATTAAAGTGTGTGTTTAAAGTGTGTGTAAATATATAAATAAATGTGTAATATATATA